CAGGACGGGCACGGGGTGGAAGGGCAGGACGGGCACGGTACGCAAAGGTAGAAGGGGCACGTTGTACCAAGGGAGGAAGGACATATTGTGGCAGGGGAGACAATGCAGAGCCTGCATAATTTTGAGGACTATAAAGAACAGAGGGAACATATCCAATTTGTGGTTGGGCAGGAAACAAAGGTTGTCCAGGGAAAGGTTCTGGGACAACTAAATTAGGGTAGCTGTTCATGACAGGATTAGATGGATTCCAATAGTTAGATTGTTCCTGCAGAACAAAAGAACATGGAACAGAAACCCAAGATATAGTCACCGGTGTCCTTTTTCCCCTGTAATCCTCATTAAAACTGATTAGACACTTGTGTATCTAAGTACACTTAGCCAAATAAAGTATTTTAATCTATTCTAAAAGAAACCCACCAACCATATTGAAGCCTGTGGATATATCTCCTTTCCAACAAAGACATGTTACATGAATTTTCCCCTATCCCAGGACATCTCTCTTTCTGCCCTGCTACAGTGGTGGATTACAGTTCCCAGCAGTATTATTTCCTGGAGCTGCTGGAACTTGCATTCCAAACATTGGACTAGTACAAGTGACTTCCACAGCATATTCTAAGAGTCAGGACTATCACCAAACGATTCCACCTTGGCTCCTGTAAGCAATGAATCACTAAATGTAGCCTTAAAGAGGGACACGCTTATCACAATACTAACCCTGAAAGAGTTAAAATCCATTTAATTGCAAGGAGTGAATGCAGAGAGAACATTGGGAAATTTAGTCCTGTGAAAGAGTTTGGATTTTGGGACTGTCAAGGGAGACAGATCTGCATCTCCAGCCTTCCCCAACTTCCTTCCAGCCAACAGATTCTTCCAACCTCCCTCCTCTGGCAAGAAAAGCTCTTACGAATTATTAACTGTGTTTGGATAACAAGATTCAGAATCAAGTATAACTGTGGTTCTAGATCCTGTGGAGCTGTGGTCCAATGAAGAGGTCAAAAAATGGTTGTGATTACTAGATACGAGAAGAGGGGAGCTGGATAACCCAAATCACTGTAACATTTATATCTAGGATCTTTCCAGAGCAATGTTTCTCACCTTGGCAACTGTTAAGATATGTGGATCTCTACTCCCAGAATTCCCCAGCTGTCTTTGTAGCCGGGGAATTCTGGGGGTTGAAGTCCATACATCTTAAAATTGCCTAGGCTGAGAATTGCTCTTCTAGATCAGCAAAATTCTTTTAGTTATACCGCTCATATCTGCTTGTGCAAAATTCAAAATAGGATAGGTTGGAGAGTTATATCCATAAAACAGGAACTCTTTAAAACTTAAGCAAGATGCAGGGCAACGAAGACAGCTTACTTCACTTTCCCGGTCGTTATAGCCAGGATACAATTATAACAATTTAGAAAATAACAACAATTAACATTTTGTCCTATTTGGACTCTGTGAGTATAGGGAAAGGATAACTTATCCCACCTTCAAACAAATAAGCCTTCAAGAGGACTTGTCACACTTTCACACTGTGACAAGTCCATGACAACAAGGTAGTCAGGCGAAGCTATTCCAGGATAAATAGAAGGGGTTGCGGTGGATAGTAATGAGGGACAACAGACCCAAATGGTTGTGTGGCAACAGGTAAAGATTGCTGAGCAGTACCTACTTCAGAATAGCCTTGAGAGTAAAATGGGAAGCCTTGGGGATAAAAAACGTAACCTTGTGGAAAACCAAGATAGCCATAGATGGGTAGGAACGGTTGGCGATCCTGCAGAACAAAACAATCAGAACAGAAAAAATCAAAATAGAGGAAGTTTCCAACAATCGTCATAAAAAAAAAAATCCCATCAACCATAATGAAGCCATGGATGTATCTCCTTCCAGAAGCTGTCCTGCAAAGATAGGTGACAGGAGTTTTCACTCTGTCCCAGGACCTGACTTTTTCTGCCCTGCTGCTGTGGTGGATTACAATTGCCAGCAGCATTACATCCTGGAGCTGCCTGAAACTTGCACCCGAGATATTTACCAGGTTCATAGGATTTCTGCAGCATGTTTTAAAAGTTGGGATCATTTTCCAAGGATTCCTTCTGGGCTCCTGTAAACAATAAACAGCTGAGTGTAATTGTAAAAAGTGGCAAACTTATCACAGGGCTAACTTGGATGGACTTGTGCACAGAGCAGAAAGCTGGCTGCATAGAAGGAGTTGAGAAATTAAATTCTCTGCAAGAGTTTGGATTTGGGGGCTGTTGGGAGAAACAGATATGGACCTCCAGCTTTCCCCAACAAATCTGTTTCCCTCCAGCAAATAGACACTTCCAACCTCCCTGCACAGAAAGGAAATTCCAATGCAGTGTTATGAGTGATTAGCTGTGTTTGGTTAAACAAGGTTCAAGGTCCAGAATGCCTGTGGTTCTAGAACCTACGGAGAACTGTAGCTAGAGTCTGAGGAAGAAGTCAAACAAAACAGTTAAGGGAAGAGCGGAAATATACCACTCTGGTATATCTGAGGGCTTCCTATGGCAATAAAAATTGCATTTAACTATTCTGTTTGGCTTAGAGAGCTTCTCATTTTTGACAAAACGAAGCAGCTATTCCAGGGGGCAGAAGGGTGAGGGCTTCCTGTCCATTCTTGCTTTTCCTGGTTCACCACCTTAATGAGGCTTCTTTATCTTAACAGTGGCAGTGCCAACTTCTTTCCTGTTAGTAAGTGGCCGCAGTGGTGGGATTCAGCCAGGGTTACAACCGGTTTGGTGAGCGCTTCACAAGCGGTGCATTTGAAAACAGCTCTAAAACTTAACTTCTACTGCAGCCCCAGCTGAAAACAGCTGAGGCGTGGCAATCCGCTCTGCCGCGCCTATCAGCTGGGCTTCAAACAAAGGAAATATAGGACAGACTAGTGTAGGAGTGAGTGGATGGGGCCAACTGATCGCCGAAACTACTGGTTCACCCAAACCAGTCTGTACTGGCTAAATCTCATCCCTGGGTGGCAGTTACAAATGTGTTGTGAGGACAGGAAGAACTAGGGATCTATGGTGTCATGTCTATCATCTTGTCTCTGGACCAGAGGTGGTATTCAGCAGGTTCTGGCCAGTTCTGGAGAACTGGTAGCAGAAATTTTGAGGAGTTCGGAGAACCAGCAAATACCACCTCTGAATGGTCCCGCCCCTGTCTCTTCTCTGTCTCTCAAGTCCCAGCGGATTGGCTGGGTCTTCTTTGGTTGCCCTGCCCAGAAGAACAGAGCTAGAAAGCAGGTTATTGGGGTGGGGAGGGGATGGGGATTTTTACAGTATCTTTCCCCTGCCACACCCAACAAACCATGCCCACAGAACTGGTAGTAAAAATATTTGAATCCCACCACTGCCCTGGATGTTGCTGAATGAGTACTCTAAAGTTTCTCTTAGGAGCCTAGCCATGTTGGCTGTTCCTAGAACTGTGTGCCTTTTTCTTTTCTTCCTGAATTAAAAAAACTACCACAGAGCTTCCAAGTTTATTAATATAGCTGTTAATTGTTCTTCACTGAAAAGCCCTTCGGTGTTCCTCTAGCCAAACCAACCCTCAGAATGAATATATTCATATTTTCCCCCCATGAAGCTTACCCATTGCCTCGTCTGATCAAAGATTTTTCTGCAGATTTTAATTAATTTCTAATAGAAAGAAGGAAAAACATCAAGAGTTACTTTGCGTTGCATTCTCCTTCTCCTGTCCTACAAATTGGAGAAATGAATCCATCATTTCTATTACTAAGACTACCTTTTTGCCTCCAGGAATTAATAAAAAAGTTGTTCTTGGGTCAAATGACACTTCCATTGAAGAATTACAGAGTTTATTTGGCCGTGTTGAGTGAGTGGCTTTCCAGTCTAAAACACATCTTGGATATTCCCCGATCTTCAGCCATCCAAATTCGAAGCAGGTCCAACACTGTTTAGCTTAATATTGGGCCATTGTTATTTTAAATCATGGTGGGTTTTATATGACTATAATACAAAGCCAAAAATGTGGCTATCATATTTCACACCAGCTGCTTTAACACTTAATACTATCCATGAGTTTGGCCAATGTTTCTTCAACTTTGGGTGGGGATGGAAATTAAACCTCAGGAATACATCATTTCAAATGTTCCCCCTGCATTTGTTTTTGGTAAGCTAGGGTAACAGAGAAGAGAAAAAAATATATTCAGATCTGAGCATGAATCTCTCTGTTCTATCTCATCTGCTCAACAATCCACTCTGCTGGAATGAATGAAAAAGATGAATAAATGTTAATAAATGAAAATATTATAGAACATAGACAGTGACAATAAAACTGCTGCAAAGTCTTAATTTAGTTTTAAGACTAACTCAACATGCTTAAAGTCATTCACTGGACATCATATGTTATAATACAGAATTTAGTTTCTATATGATAGCAATAGCACTTAGACTTATATACCACTTCACAGTGCTTTACAACCCTCTCTAAGTGGTTTACAGAGTCATCCTATTGCCCGCAACAATCTGGGTCCTCATTTTACCCACCTCGGAAGGATGGAAGGCTGAGTCAACCTTGAGCCTGGTGAGATTCAAACTGCCAAGTTGCAGGCAGCCGGGAGTCAGCAGAAGTGACCTGTAGTACAGCACTCTAACCACTGCACCACCAAGGCGCAGTGAAAGATGATGAAAGAGAGACACCCTAATCACGTAGAAGACTACCAATTACTTTAACTAATTACTTTAACTAATTTGAATAGCAAACCTGTTTAATGTGCAAATGAATGTCATTTTCTCAGGCAGACTTGGCTGCCAGAGGAAAGAGGATGTTTGATACAAACTGGAGATCTGAAACAAGTTCTTTTTGTCAAGTATTGAAATGATAATAAATATTTCCAGATACTTACACCCAACATATGGATCTAGCAAAATAAAAATAAAAAGACACAATATTTAGAAAGGATCTTTATTCTTAGATCCTCTTAATAGGTTATTTGTTTCATCTCTGATTTTTTTTTAAATATTCTTACTGTATATTGGTGGTCTTTTTTCTTACACTTTTTAAAACAATGTAGCAATGTAGTATTGTATGCTTATAATAACACTTTTAATTTTCCATTTGAATTGATTGAATTTGGTTGTTTATACAACACTTATCTTCTCCTTCTGCTTTGAAACCGATCCTTAAATGTTCTATCAGAACCCTAAACCATCATCTATGTTGCAAGGAAGTCCTGCATATAATTGAAAAACAGATAAAATCTGGACTCTGCGCTAATTTTGCACCAATTTTTTTAAATTTATCCCTTTGCCAGCTGCAGGACATGGGTAGAGGGTATGTCTAGTAACACACACAATAATGTTATAATACAGTTACAATACAGTTCCTAGGGTACACTGTCATATAATGATCATTATTTTAAATGGGAAGCCCATCCACTCCTCCCTTTTCTTTTTTGACATCCAACATTCATGTTGTTTCTTATTCAAGGTGTTGATACATGAACATGCCACCTGGGTGCCCAACATTGAAATAACATGGGATATATATTGATTGGTCTGGAGAAGCCAACGCGGGTCTTTTTTATATTCTATTGTTTGACATGTTCGAATGTGCTCTACATCTTTGGGAACAGGGCCAGGCAATGAAGGAAGAAGCAAAGAGGCACATTATAACCTCATATGTCGATATGAGAATGGTCCAGGAAAGATTGCAACCTGGGTTTGGAGGGGTTTAGCTTTTTCTACTCCAAAAGAAAGCTTGATAAATGTTTGCAACGGGACACCTCTGAGATGCCAGAGTGATCAGATTCCAAAGGGAACCATCATCTAAAAAGGGTAGAAACAAAATAAGATACTCACCAGCTTTTCAGATCTAAAGTTATCCTATGGGCAAACACCACAGACACACACAAAAGACATAGAGTGAGGGGACAAATAGTTTTTTTCCTATCAATTTTGCAAACAAAAAAAGTGAAAAAGCCTGCAAAGAGCACCTTATAACCAGGGGGTGGGATTCTACCGGTTTGGACTGGTTTGGGTAAACTGGTAGTTCTGGTGATCATGTGGCCCCGCCCACTCGCCTCTACTTTTTCCTGTGCTATATTTCCTTGTTTTGGAGCACAGCTGTTTTACTCCTGGGGCTCCAAGTAGAAGGCAACTATAACAGTTGAAAAAGGGGCTTTTTTAAATGGTGCACACGGGCGCACAAAGTGCACGATCACTTGTTGTTACACTGGTTGAATCGCACCACTGCTTATAACCTCTAATTGGGGAATGGGCAGCTAAAGGGGAGTGGTCAATTGTGGCCTAGCACAACATCAGGACCACAAGAGTAAGAACAGATGAAGGATAACATGCTCCCCCTCTTAAATAGATGCTGCAGAAAACAAGGTTGCTATTGAACCGGAAGGAACTCTTCCATCTTCTGCAATGCAGAACTGTTATATCTCTCTGCTTTCCTTCCCTGTCTTGCAATCGTCTCTTTCTACTCCCTCGCCCCCACTCCCACTCCAATCCACAAGGCTGTGCTTCACAAGGCACCTACCCAAGATTTGGGAGCACCTAACCCTGTATAGGAACCTATGATTTTCAGGGCCAGGCACTTTGGGGCGGGGTTCTCTTTAATTGGGTATAATAGGAATATATATATTTATATATTGATTGATTGATTAGCCCAGGGGGCGGCATTCAACTGGTGTAACAACCGGTTTGGTGAGCGCATGCTTCTGATCTTCTGACCTCCAGCAATCTCTCTGTGTTAAACAGCTGACGCGTGGCACAGTGCGAATCAGGTTCGCTCACAACTGATCCTCAGAGCTACCAGTTTGCCTGAACTAGGCCAAACCGGTAGAATCCCAACCCTGGATTAGCCTATAGGCCATATCAAGGTACAGGATCAAAAACATATTCCCAATAAAATTTGAAACAGACAATTTAAAGTGAGAGTAGGGTAAAATACAATAGTTATAGGATAAAATGCAATAATTGAATACATAAATATGTAAGAAAGAATAAAATGACATAAAGTTATATTTCTTTATCATCCCTGCAATCTACCCCAGTCAGGCCCACCTATGCCCATCTCAGTTGGGCCATTTTAG